TCATCATCATCATCATCATCATCATCATCATCATCATCATCATCATCCTCATCCTCATCCTCATCCTCATCCTCATCCACCGTTACTATATAGTATGTGCGATGTGCCCAACCTTGGTCAAACTGTGTGGTTTGGAAACACCGACTTGAGCGACTTGAAGTCGCTGCGACCGCCCGTTTTTGCTGCGGTGCCCGGTCTACAGATCCTGGAGGACCCCCCGGTGGAGGAGCCACATTTGCTCTAAACACAGTCTTTGGACGTTGATCATACTAATAGAGAACGTGGCTTATATAATCAATCCCTAGGGATCCGTTTTCGTACCGAACCTCAGGTACGGTGAGAAGGGAGACTATTGTAGGCGCCAGGAGGGCCCAGTCGTACCTCCTGAGGTTTGGTATGTGGATCCGTGGGGAATGAACTGTGTTGAATTCATTTGTTGTTTCTAATCCCATGCTTCCCGTTCCAGGCTGGTATCAGACTAGCAGCCTAGCAACAAGTGATTAACTTGGGTCATGATAAGCATGGGCAAAGCTATATGCCATAGTTCAAGGTGTGAGCCACAGTACCGCAATCCATATGCCCCACTTTGGACACGCAGACGTTTCACCCGCGGAGTGTTGCGCCAATTGAAGGCCTAAGCCCGAGGAGAAGAAGGGAGCAGCGGAAACAGCGCCAGAGGGTGTACCTGAGGGTCTGGTGCGCAAGCCTAGCTGTTGAGCTGCAGCGTTGCACTACGCAGTTTCACGCCGATGTTGCAACATGGCGCCCGGCGCAATGTTGCACGAGCCAAAATCAGCGTTTGGAGCGTCGGGTGTGCGATGTGGGTAGCTGGCCATGTCAATCTCAACGAAGATCAGAACATGTTGAACGTGATGACAGCTCAGACCTCTCCCCTAAGGGGATACGAATTCGGAAGTTGGAGATAGTTGGAGGTAGTCATTGAGAAACTGGTGTTTAAACTATAAAGGTTGAAAGGGTGCCGCAGAACCAGCAGTTCACCCATCAGCTTAGGATTGCAGGCCCAATGAGTCCAATGATAGGTTGACACTCAAACCTCAAACCATGCCTGATCGGAGGGAGTACAAGACTTGCCTGATCGCTCAACCCAAGCGGCGATTCTCCGTGTGCCACAAATGTGGCCTTTTGGTGGTCTTTGCAGTACCGTTTTGACCGACGTCAAGGTGTGCTGCCGACGGCAAGTTTGCGCTCCGTGAAAAGGTTGCGGCACATGGGAAACCCGGATGTGGTAGGTCACTACGTTGAACGAGACACGTGAAAGCCCCTTTGATCGGAGACCCCACTAAGACATGAACACCGCTTTGCAGCGGGGGTCATCAGACACTGATTACTGGACTTTGCCTTGCACTAGGAGCTGTTTCAAACTGCTAAGTTTAATAAGCAATACCAGCATGGCTGTCATCCAGCCAAACGATTCTCTTCATGGTTTCCCTGGGCCCATCTCCTTCAGAAATGCTTCAGATTTGCCCGGATGCTCCTGGAAAAAGGACAGACAAGACATGAGTCTCCAACCCGCCCCCCCAAAAAAGAAAACCGAAGAATTCAGAGGTCAAATGCTCAGTGGCCTGACCAATGACACTAGATCTATGGATTCATATGTATCGACTTATATTATGTGTTGTCTTTTCATGTTGTTCTACCACCCGCTTTCTTCTTTGCCCCGCTCCAGGGCCTCCAGCGGCCTCCCGCCATCCGGTCCCCCATGGGCTCCGAGGTGTGAAAGCTCGACGCCCTTCGTGGCGATGCGATGGTACTTGGACAAGGCAGGCATGAAGACTGGCCACTTGGCTCAAACAGAGCGCCGTCGCCTTTGCTTAAGGCCGAGGGAAGGGCGGGTGAGCAGGTAGAATTGTGGAATTTCTGGATAGAATGAAGTCCCGGAGACAGAGCAGGGAAGGGTAATCTCTTGGAGAAGGCGATGAGCACAGAAAAACATAGAGAGATCCATGAGAAGAAAGAGACGAAGCTGGGCTGATACTAGGTCCGGACCATACCGATGATTGAACAGTTTCAATTGAATGTGTTGGGTCTATGGATGTCGACATGGCTTTTCATGTGCTTCTGAGCCGATGAGCCCCAGTCCGGTGTCTTGGACGGTGGTGGGATGAGGGAGCCCATGGCATGGTTCGTTGCGGAGCACCATCCAGCACCGACGGCCAACAGGTCACCAATTGAAACCTGTTAGGGCCTAACAACCCTCCAAAGGAGACCTGTTGGAAGGTGCTGGATGTTGAAGGTCTACAATAATAAGAGTCCCACAGCCACACAGCATTGTCCTTTTCGTCCTTTTCGCTGTACATGCCGCCGGGGTTGCACACGGAAAAACACCGACGTTGGAGTGTGGTACAGACCGCTTGCGTGGACCATGAACACTGAGGCAAGGTGTACCTGGCCAATGGAGCACGAGACCTCAGCGGGACACTCTTTGGACCGGCGATGTCAAGAACGGGGAGAACTTGGGAGATCGTTCAAGCGTTGCCTGACTTGACCCGGTTCAAGGTGGCATTGTCTTGCTGAAAGCCATCATGGAAGCGGACCATGGCCACTGAAAACGACCGCATGGTCGGGAAAAACACACAACATATAAAAAAATCTCCCGTTTGTGGTGTAATTGGAGGAGATAGGCAGATCATGTTCCTCAACATCTTCACCAAAGGCCCCCGGAAGACACCACCCCACGGCACCACCACTTCGCCACCGGTCCGCCGGGATGATGCGGACCCCGGTCCGGGATCTGACCCCTTGGGATAGCAGTGGCCAGCGCTTGAGTCAGTGGCCGGGTACCAGCGGACGGACCTTCAATCCCACGACCTGGCCGACCTGTTTGGGACTGCCGGACGGCCGAGTTACACGGCCGGGCCAGGGGTGGTGCCAGGGGGGTCTGGCTTGATCGGCAGTCCTATGGCACTCAATCAGGGATGTGGCCAAATGTTGTTCCACATTTCCACAAATAGTTTCAAGTTGTATCAACTGGTGACTTAGTGTGACTGGCAGCTGGATGTGTTTAACATTGCTTCCAAAACATTGGGTCCGGTCCGAAGCAACCGTCGCCGCCGCACCCGTGGGTGCCACCGGGCCCCAGATGTTGATGATGATCTCCTTCTTCATCTTTCGAGTTTGGGCCTAAGACGACGGATCTCTGGAGCGAGCTGAGCGGGAAGCCGGTTTGAGCGATAGTGGTTTTGTGCGGGGTACTGGAGACAGACACACAAATAAACACACGTCACATCAATAAGCAATACAGTGTGATGACCTTTTGGACAAACCAGTTTTAAAAGAAGCTGTAGCGATGTTTGACATACCACAGGCATCCAACCATCATTGATTTAAAGCCTTTGCCGAACAACCATTGGGGTTTTACAGAACAGGGTCAACGGAACTCAGTGGAAGGCCAGGGTCCAAAATCAGAGGATTTTGAAAGACTGTTCAGTTAAACGTGTTGGAAGATGTTTTTTAAGTGTTGGTGTCCAAGATGTGCAAGAATGACCGGGAAAGAATGCCGTTCAGAGTAGGGAGACATTGGAGATCTCAGTATCAGAGACTTCGTTCGTCTTTTTGGGAGTGGTGTTGACACGTCCACTTCCATCCAAACGCAGCGGACTCTCCATGGTGACTGTAGCTACCTGCGGATTGCTAGCTAGCTTAGCTCCCCATGTGGGTGTGGATCCATCACACCGTCACCGTGCCAGTCACCGTGCTATATCGTTCCTTTGCGCTAATGACCACGCCATTGGTGGGGTGTTGTCTTTCTCCTAAGTGGAGTGAAACTGGTGGCCAGACTCCGCGTTCTTCACACGGAGAACCAGGAATGGGCACATGGTCAGAATTGGTCTGAGCATCAGAAACACACGGCTCCACGATCTTTTGGGTCTCCAAACGAAAGGAACCACGTCTCCGGCGTTCTTCTCTTCGCACCGGCGACCCCCTCTTTCACGACGGTCAGGTGTGCCTGTACACCTACATGGCGGTCGTCATCTATCGCAGCTCAGAAGGGTCCGGCAGCCCGGAGACAACTAAGATAACATGGAAGGCCTGGAAGGGCAATAAAATCCTACAATTACCTCTATTTTGGACCATGAACCACTCAAAATAAGTCTTTTCATGTCTTTTCCTATCAAAACAGAGGTCAAATGGGTACTAGGAACAATTGCGCCAGCATAGACCCCAGATAACACAACATATTCGCGATGTCTATGCACGCTGCCATAGACAATTAGAAAGGGCACAGCCTCCACCCAGCAACACACTGCCAGCAACACCCTTGGCAGCACCACCCGGCAGCGGCTCCTGAACCCTTGTTAGGCAGCTTAGACAGATGTTTCATGTTTATGCATGTTTTAATTGTTTTTCTTCAGACGCCATAAGATACATAATGATAAATCAATGATCTACCTGCAGGGTTTCTTTTCCTGTCATTCGTGCACATCTTGCTCATGGTGTTCCCTGAGGTGATACTGGCAGTCCAGACCAGGTTGGATCCTATTGAAAAGCCTATGCTTAATGTCAAGCCCAACCCGATTTCGGGCATCCTCAAATAAGCAGACCTCCCTGCGCTGGCAGAACCAATGCGAAGCGGACCCTGAAGACCCATCTCACTACCACCTGATCTTCCATCATGGTGGTTTCTTCAAAACCTCAAACCATCATGAGGCTCTTTACGATCCCAGTGCTGAATCGTATCCTTTTCCTTTCGGGCTACTTCGGCGGAGTGCGGGTCTCCCAGCCGGGTTCCCTTTTCGTGCGCGTGGCGTTCGGGTGTGGCGGCCAGGGGTTTTCTATGGAGCCAAAAGCGAAACCGGACCCTGTTCCGAAGCAAAACCTGGTTGTGCTTAGGGTGATGAACATTCCCCAGGCCTATGGAGTGAATCCCCTTTTCGGGGGAATATTCGGAAGATGTGTTATTTTTCCCCAGTTCCTTCTAGCAAATCCAGGAAAAAAACAAGAAGAATGACATGGACATGAGAACAAATAGGCTCCTCTGTTCGTTGCTTTTGATTATTTTTGTGTTTGACGGCAGATATCCATATGATTAACCCCTTGGAGGCCTGCAGTTTGATACCACTACTCTGCTGCTTTTTCAGATCCTCCCTGCTCGGGATATGTTGAGCCCGTCGGCAGGGTACAGGCGTGCAGCTGGTCTTTTGCAAGATGTGGCTTTCCGTGGGTCGCTCTGAGGGTTCAGAAAGGTATATAGATGGCCTCATGTGGAGTGTGCATTATTTAAGACATAGGGAGATCTCCCAAAAGACCCCCCTGGAAACCCATGGAAACCCATTAATTGGTTGGGGACCTCTCGATTGAGATGCACACCCATGTTTCGGCTGGTTGTCAATGTTGAGATCCGTTTTCACGAATCTTTGGATTTGTATGGCCCGTACGAGGCCACCAAAAAAACGCTCTCAGAGGATGGGTGGAGAAAGCTGTTTGTGATGTTCTACCAGATCATTGTGGTGTGTTTCGGGGATTCTCAATAAAAAAGCCAGGAGCCCACTACGTCACGTTTGACTTTCAGTGGGATGTCCATTGATGTGGTGTGCCCTTTCCACTAACTAGTACAGATATGAAGAAGGCATTACCAGGCATTATTTACTTGATTGATCTATCCACCATGCAGCCAGCCACTGCCACTGCCACATGCCACTAAGGCAGGCTTGCAGTACTTCTGGTTCGCCAAGATCCTCCGGGGGGGCGTGCGGTGGCTCAAGCACTTTCACAGGGACCAGATGTTGTTCCAGGGTGTTCGTCCAAATGTGCTTTAGTGACCTCGAGCGAAAGGTTAGTAGGCCTTGCACGTTCGTACGGTGGTGATGGGCGAAGCCCAATTGATATAAAATCAAGATTCTGTGGGAGATGAATGTAGTGCTGCACACTATTGTGTGAATTATGCATCTCATTTTTCCTAGGCCTATGTATCTGAAGGGCAGTCATAGTCGTTTAGCCGCAGCCCATCCCACCGCTTGCGCTTCGGAAGGGAACTGGTCTTTGCTTGTGGATAGACTTGGATCCTTTGCTCGCCCCCAAAAATCAAACTGAGTTTTACTGGGGTGGTGCAAAAAATAGTCTTTGGACTTCAAGGGTGTACATATTAATGTGCACAGGACATAAATTCGTTTGGGGGACTTGTGTGACTGCAGGACGTGGCGCAAGAAGAGCAGGTCACGTCACAAAGAGTGTGCTTTCTAAGTGGATGGGCTATGAGTCAATGAGAGAATCCCAGGGCCCATCCCCGGCCATCGATGATTTCAGTGACAATAGATCACTCTCCAGAAACCAGTGATGGAGTTGATTGGGATTTGTTCCTCGTAAAGGCTCCCCCCAACGGAGGGTTTTCTTCGACCCTGGAAGGATCAATGGCAGAAACATCTTCACAATTCTACTTCAATCATTGTTGGCTTTCAAACCAAAGAACCCCACCAACTCCACCAACTTAGCACACCAAGTGGTTTCCACTGCCCCCCAAACCACCAGAACTGAAGAACTCTCACATCGGATGGCTTTTGACTGAGGTACAAAACCTTGATCGGTCGCTTGGTGCGAAGTGACGCGACGAGACGGGCTCGACAACTGCATGGGTTTGGGGCGGTCCCAGCAAGGACTGCTGTGACGAACATCGAAACAGGTTCGTTTCGTGACAACGTCAGTTCTCCCAAAGGGTGTTCCAAGCACCTGCATGCTGGGATGTGTTTGATATAGGCTTGAGTCGGGATTTTTGCAAGTAGAACATGAACAGACATGGGTTGCTCTTGAGAAACCTTGACCTTCTAAGATCGTCGAACCGTCCAAACACGTCGGTCACAGCGTGGTGTTTGTGCCATGTGCCCTGCGCTGCGTTCCTCACCCAGGCGGACCGAGCCGACCAACGGAGAAGCTCTTGAAGTCGGACACTGTGGCTGAGCCCGAGGCGAGCCCAGGGCGCTCACAGAGTGCAGGAGGTGATCATGCTTCATATTGAATATCGCATAGTGTTATATTTATATAGTTATTTACAGTAGACTTTTTGTTGATGATTTCATCTCTATAAAGAAGGTGTTTTCATGATTGGTGCTATTAACATAACAGATTGTCATTGGTAGATGTTGATAGAATGTTATAACAGAATTGGTGTTTGAAATCACTTCAGTTCCATGGTTTGAGCAAGGTCGACCTATTTGGTGATGGGCATTCATAAGCCCGAGATGCTCAGACATATGGCTAGATCAGAGATGGAAGGATGGTTCATTGTATAGGAAGATGCTCCGCGTCTTCCATATTCCAGTGTGGCAATGTGTGTCAAACGCTAAACCCAGGGGTTGGAGTTTTGTTCAAGTGTTGAAGAGAATGGTGTAGGTGGATATTGAATAAACGGTCCTAATATGTACCAGGACCCTCCAACAGGTCTCCTTTGGTGGCTTTTGCAGACTTCAAAGTCGCAGGTGGTGACCTGTTGGAGGGTGTTTGTTTGTTTTTGTTCACTAGATTGTTTTTTTTCTTGAATGCATCTATAGAAATGATATGTAATGATGAGAGAATGGTCTATGGGGGAGCCAGCCTGGCCACACCTTTGGGTTGCTGAGGCATCCTCGCCGCCGAAGGAGCTTCGGCCAGGCACGGTGAGAAAAGCCGGAAGTGAAGGATCCAACATCCCCATCACCATCCGAAGTACCCTCTGACGAACACATCACATGGAAGTGGATGGCATGGTCCCTTGCAAGACTACTTTCCTCTACAGACTTGCATGTATACCACTTGCATGTTAGTGAGTCGGAGTGTACATCCTCGGAAGACTTGGAGAAAGACCTTCCGAAAGCCCCCCAGTCCCAGTCGAATCGAAACGGTTCGGTAGCAACAGAGCCCTTCCCGGGATGCGTTTGTCAACAGAGTGGTTGAAGAACCCCATCCCAAAGACTATCTCATATCCTATAAGGTCACTGAACCTCTTGGTGTGCATTGAACATATCGACACTCCACCATGCTAGCGGCTTAGGTCACAGATAGAGAAGGTCAACCAAAATGCCTGAAACTCCATGGGACTGCCATATATGCCAATGAATTCGACCTCTGAAACCACCATAGACCCCCCCAACGACCCGGTAACTATGGCAGTCCCATGGAGTTTCAGGCATTTTTTCACCCCCCTCGACTCGTCGACCCCTTTGACAAACCAACAAGATATCTATCTCTTGGTGGGGTGTTACACCCTGGAAGACTAACATGGAACCTGACAACCCCTGGTTGGTAGAGAAAAATAGTCTTCCATGGGACCATTGTCAGGGTCTATGTTAGTCTTCGGGAGTGTTCTCCGTATTCACGTTCTCAATTCTTTCTTCGGCAAGCATGGAAACGCACAAACATACACTCGACCTTCTTCTTTTGGAGAAAGTGGGCTTGCTAGACTCGACTTTTAACGTCTATACCTGGGGCGTTACATTTATTTGGTGAGTCATGTGAGTCATGTGAGTCCTTGCAGTTAGGTGTTTTTTTCCTTGTGCTACCTTCTACTGGCCGACCCCAGATGCGAAAGCCTTTTCCTGATTGGCGGTTCCCTGGAACGGTGAGCTTAGTGATCTGAAGTGATGGAACGACGGTCGGCCACAGCAGATCAGTTTGCACCATGACACCGGACGACGGACCTTATGAGAACCCTCAGGGCCGCCTACCCCAGGGACCCTGAGCCGCCCAGCGCAGCCATTTCCCGAAAAGGGGTGGGTCCGACCGGCCCCTCATGGCGCGGGTGAAGCCCAAGAGCAAAGCATCTCTACGCAGCTTGGCCCGGCAGATTGGGTGTATGTTGGGAGCCCTGTGCTTTCTGGGCAACTGAATTTGACATGGATCGTAGATCTTCACATATTCTAAGCATATAGTAATAGGAATCATCAACCAGAGAGAGGGAGAGATAGATGCCAGCAGGGGTTTGCTTTGTCATCATTGGGTTCTGGTGATTTCACAGGCCAATTGACTCAGCATCTCCAAAGAGGCCTGTGTTCCACAAGCCCTGGACGCTTGGCCGTGGAGGTCTTCTTCAGTCCCTCGAAACCCTTTGGTCATTTAAGACATTCACTCCCTAGGGCTCCAGCCATATCCTCAGAAGGTGGTTAGACCCTCCAAACCCACCCCAACCACCTTCTCAGGAGGTGGTTGGAGCCCTAGGGACTGAAGTCCTAGTAGAACAGACTAGACAAGGCATACCTTTCCCCACCGGTCCCAGACAAGATGTAAGACATGTAAGGCCCAGGCGCCCAGTGCCCGAAGTAAGTTGCTGGAGAATGGGATGAAGAAGACAGCTACTTACTTTATATAGTCAACAGGTGTGCACTATGTTTGGCTATCTTGGGAATTTGTAATTTACATAGGGTTTGCATGGGCTGTCCACTAAATTAGTATTCCAAAGCGGGGTGAGTTGGCTGGAATAACTTTTTTGGACTGATTTTAACTGAAGAACATATGCATGTACTTGCCTAGGGGGAGCTTTTAAGGGGGAGGGGAAAGGGGGGGCATGGACAATATTTCAGAACAATTGTTCATAGTAGATCACGTTGCTCAATCCTAGAATGAAAGAAACAAGAAACAAGAAGGTTGGAGGACAATACCGTCTCCAAAAAAAGGGTCAAGTGCAAGAGGTTCTTTGACAATGGATAACGTTGCTTGCTCAATTCGAGTTTGTTTTTGTTGGACAAGAGAAAAGCAACCTTGGACATAACAAAAGAACAAGGTGAAGAGTTGGAGAGCACCGCCATCCCCAAAGAATGACCCAGGAACAGATTCTAAGTGCTTCCATGTTGTTCCATGAGCTTTGGGTGGTCATTGTTGCTTTTGGGTCTTCAGACCCATCGGGTTTTGTTCTTTTTGGCTTGCTCTTTTTCGTTTGGGTTATTTGCAAGTCTGCATGTCTTCCTGAGGATGGTGTTTCTGTAGAATGTTTCCAGGGTGTGTGAGATGTGAAAGGTGCGGCAAGCTTAACTTTGTGGTCGCTTTTCTGTTCCTTTCTTTGGCTTGCTCTTTTTTCATTCCCTCTCCTGCAAATCTATCTAAGAATGGCGTTTCGACAGGATGTTTCCATCGGTATGTGAGATGTCAACAATTCTTGGAACTTTTTTCTGGCCATTTTTTGCTATGCCTTGCCTTAGAAACGCGGCAAACCTGGGGTCTTCTGACAGAGCTCCCTGAACAAAAGAACTGTGCCATACTATCATAATGTGTCGTATTTTGTTGATACATCAAAAGAAAAAATGATTCCACTAATTGAGACATGTCAGGAGTATAGGCACGTGGTCCCCTAGCCCAGGCATAGGCAAAGGAACAGGCCATCTCAAAACTTGATGTCTACCCGAATTATTGTGAAATATGTATGCGGTTTGAATTGTTCTGGAATGTGTAGACTCAGACGGGTCATAACTTTTTTTTTCCGATTCATGTTTAATTCCCCACCCGGAATCATGATGAATCGAAACCGCCCGGGAGGAAATACCTTCCATATCATGGCACGGCCCATGCATCCCAAAATGCTCCACATCTCTTGACCCAAACACTCCATGGGACTGCCATATATGCTTACATTGGGGTGGTTTTGGGGGTCAATTGATCGGCATATATGGCATACATGGAGTGTCTGGGTGATGGTCTTCCCCCATGGGTGACTCCACTGCGCAAATCGGCGTCCATCATGGCAGGCCCACATGAAGGCGGAGGTGGCGGTGGGACTTTCTTGGGTGCAGGGTCACTGGTGGGTGGAGGTGGCGGTGGGACTCCCTCCGTCCGGATCCAAGGCTGGCAGGCCAAGGACACCGATGCATCGCCGAAGGACACGCTGAACGCGGCGTCGGCGCCCTTCGTGCCACGGGCGCGGATCCGTGAACATCGGGTAGTGGGCCTGATTACAGAGTGGAGGGGATACATGGGCAACTTGATTGAAGTGCGATCGTGAGTTGGACTGGGGGGGGTGGGAAGATGGTGATTGGATGGGGTGCGGTGAGGTGGTTTGAGTGGTCATTCTGCGGTCTTCTGTGTCTCATTTCCCAAGGACTAAGTATACGTATAGCTCTTAGCCCTTGTTCGGAGCTGGTAGGTCTGAACAAGGTGGGGCAGTTGGCTGGGCCAAGAAGTCCCATAAGTATCCATAAGTCGTGCATCTTCTTTTGACCGATCGGATGGATTCTGACATGGCTGCAGGTGCTTATACTGAATGGCCGCCTGAGAGGGACCCTTCATTGAAACCTCAAGAAGGGCGGAACCTGCATGTGTGTGTTTTCGTGGTCCCAATTTTATATATACCACCCAGACACTCCATGGGACTGCCATATATGCCTATATACATTGCGGTGGTTTGGGGGGGTCAATTGATCGGCATATATGGCAGTCCCATGGGTCGTGTTTGGGCCAGCTACTGGTGGCTGACCCGGTTCTATGAAATTCTTGGACTTGTCCATGAGGCTGGATTCAGCCATTGGCGAAGATAGAGCACGAGTTGGCGGGAAGGCACTGGGGTCTTCTCTATGTGAATCAAAGCGATGTGAAGTCTGTTGATGGCCTTGTGCCATGGATGAAGCTCGGTTTGGCTGTCTAAGCCGGCTAAGATATGCTATAACTACCAACTCATATCACAATTTTAATGGTTATATATATATATATTATTATATATGTTGTTTGAGTTGGCTGGGGGGGAATGCAATTAATTTATAAGGTAGATCATCCAAACATCAAATGAACTGGAGCACAACTTAGATCGATGGAGTATACTTGATGAGCAGCGGATACGTCAGTCTTTCCTTCCCATTCTATGGGAGCACGTGCTCATCGTCGGCGGCGAAAGACGCACGAGCCGGATGGCACGATCCGGATAGCATGTTCCGATGGCGTTTCTGCGTCTTTCCACACTCCCTATAGGCCGCGCTCCAAGTCGTTTCGAAGTTGGGCTGGGTGGTTTTTGACCGAACCTGAGGGAGCTTTCCATCTTCCGGACCGGTTGCCTGGCGGTGATCCATCTTCCCCTCCCTTGTAACATCCGGAGCTTTCTTTCCTGGTTTGGCGTATCAGGTGGTTTCATATCTGGAGAGCTCAAGGCTCCCACCACGGTTCCATTTCCCCCTCAACCCTTCGCCGAGCCGACCGGAGCGAGCGCCCGCCTGCTCAAGCGGCGACCCGTTTCCCCAGGAAGGCCGGGCGCATCGTGGATTTCTACGTTTATGCCGACCCGGATGGCTTGGGTGCCGAGGAGGTGCAGGCGCTGTGGCCGCTGCGGGTGACCCTGAGCCAGGGCGAGGCGAAGACCTTGATGAAGGGGTGGAGCCCGTGGCTTGGCAGAACGGGTGGCCATGTGTTCTGAGAACAACTGCCACATGTCCCTCCTAGTGCTCATACTGTATGCTTAAAGGCTTAAAGGCAAAAATAGATCTTTGAAGCTTTGGGCTTTGGGATGCTGCAAGCTGATTGGACACCAGGGTGTGTTTCTAACAGATCCTCCCAGATCTTGGTCGCCAAAAGCCATGGCCAAGCTGGTCGCAGGCATTGGTCGGAGTACCTGACAGAGTCCGCCCCTCGGATTCTCCTGGAGGTGGTCATAGGTGGTCACAGGATACGACGACCGGTTTGGCGGTGTTTAGATGATGTGTTTTGGACATGTCCTTCCAAGCACTACATGTTTGAGTCTGTTCGAGATGCATAGTGATTTGTCCAACACTGTTATCCTGTACAATGTGTGATTGTGAGTGAGATTTCTTTATTACTAACTGTCCTAAAGACTAATCATTATATGAAATTGTTATACTCCTGCCCTTTGGGCTTCGCGAGGAAAAGTTTGAGCGGGTGCCGACAATCGGGGTGTCTTCCAACAGGGTGATACAGACCTCCCACCATCCACCCGGCTTAATCACCATCCAGTTAGATCACGAACCTTTACATACTGCATAGCTGCATACTGCTAGCTCAAACGAACAGCATCACTTCGGCCCCGGTGGCCCAGTGGGCCGGGCGCCTTCCCTCACTATCCACCCACCTGCCACACCCCTTGATGTGGCCCAAAAGCCCCACAGATCGGGTCAAGATGCATCACTTGGTCAACGACTATAGCGGTGGACAAGGACGAGTCCTAACGTGCCAAGGACTAGCTGTCATGTGCAGCGATGGAGGTACCTTTTGCACCCTTCATTTCACTAACATGCTCAGCTGGAGAACACGTCGTGTCAAGAGACAACATGTTGAAGCAGTTTTGCTACACGTTCCACAAGGAGTGAGGTAAATTGGCTCATGGCTGGCCAACTGGCTTTTGTTTTTTTCGGTTCTTCTCTAGGACCTTTCCGTACCTTCTCAGATGAGAACACCTACTGGTTCAATTTGTTTTTTTGATCCCCCCTTATTCACCAGAATGCTCCAGGTCATTCCCCTTTCAACAGAATCAACTCGCAGCTTGTTTGACAGGATGGCTTTCGTTTCGATCAGCACATGTTCCAAATACACAGAGTGCTTGGAATGGCAGGAGTGTTTCTCTTCCAACGGCTTCTATGTCTAATGATGAGTCTAATGTATTAGATATTTTTACAGAAGGGTTTATTCATGGTGAAGCCCGTAGAAACGCGCGTTCTTGTGAGGGTAGTGATATGAAAGCATTAAAACAGTTCATCAAAAATAATGTAACAACAAAAAACAATGTCCCCTGTCCAGTCTCTCCTCAGTCCCTCTCCATGCGTCTCAACTTTTTTGTTTTGGCTGGTCTGCCCAAAAGTGCAAAAGTTCAGATCTGTTTTATACGGCGTTGTTTGATCTGAATCAAAGTAGAATTAAAGTAGAAATAAAAGACAATTGGAATGGACTTACGTAGGATTTAGTTCAAAATAGAATTAACAATAACTGTGATGTTGAATTCAATTGGAATTAGGTCATTTCGGATTTGCAATCATTTGCCATTTGACTCGGATGTACTTCACTAAACTGCATTCAATGAGAGCAACGCAACTCACAACATGACTAAAAGCAAGAACTATGGTTGTTGCATGGAATTAGATTACACCTGATCTTATGGAGTTATGACTTCTTTAGCACATAGTTGAATGAACATATATGCTTACCAGCTGCAACAATAGAGCCACACTTTCACAATCCCATCAATGTCATGTCACTTGCAAAAAGAGCAAGACCTTGCAAAATCACAACTTTCACAACCCCACCCCGCCCCCATGACTACCCGCCCTCTCTCTCTATATATATAGATATACAGTAAATAGATATCACAGCTGGCTGAAGCACATCTATCCCCACTTCATAGTCCGACAAGCGATCCATAATTTGTTGGATCGGTAAAGAGTTTCTTTGGCATGTAAGGAGTACTACACTTCCCAGCACCTGGGCGTCCTCGTCCGGAAATACTCCTGGCCTTTGCCCTTCGTGGTCTTGGAGCTTTGGGGTTTGCAAGAAGAGCTGGCGCAAGCAGCAGAGCACTGTAGCTCCCAAGGTGCGGGGAAGGTGGTGATGGATGTGGATGGCTCTTCAGCCTGTTTGATTATGCCCTAGGGATCCACATACCTTCTCAGGAGGTACTTGGGCCCTCCAAGCCTACACAAATAGTCTCCAATCACCTTCTGAGAAGGTACTTGGATTCCTAGGGTGTGTTTGATTGGTGTTTATAACAAAGCTTGCCCTCCATTTCGCTTCAGTGGCCTTTTGTTGCGTGCCAAGTAAGGATAGGCCTGCCGGTGGGGACTAGGATGCGCTTGGGGATTGTCAGTTACCCAACAAACATGGCAGTGTGACAATCCCCTCTTTGCAGATGAATTTCTAGGAACCATTTTCCACTTCGGCTTCAGGAGGGTATCTTGTTGATGACCATCATCGACTCAGATCCCCAGCCACTCCGTGGCTCGTTCTGCCCGCAGGTAGCGGGGACCGGCGCCGGTTGGCGCTACTGCTACCTGAGACGTCAGTGCCTAAAGCAGAGCATTTGCCTGGGAAGCCGAAGGCACCGACCTGTTTGGCAGGTTCCCCGCAAAACACGCCTCAGATTTTGTATGGGAACCTGAAGCACATGGATACCTTCAATGGAATCTTGAGTGGTGAAACCATGTGGAACACCTCAGTGGTCCTACATCCCGACCCCATTGGACGGACACCCTTTGCATGCGTTTGTGCATGGAGTTACTGGCCGCTCATGGCAAGCCAGCTGTTCCCATCTTCCGAAACCAATTGACAGGCCACTGGACTCCAAGCAATTTGCGCAGGAAGGTCTACAGGAGGGCACTTGTCTATGGCGGATGGATCCAATGCCTAATTGGGGATGGGTCAAAACCTGGAGTTTGGTCCACCATGTAGCTTGACCTTCCAGGTGGCTCCACCCTGGGGTCTAAACCCGCAGCTCATGATCTCCACCAGACGTTCCACCACTTTAAAGGCACCTCATTCAAAGCCACGGTAGGTCTCCACGCCACGGTAGGTCTCCACGCCACGGTAGGTCTCCACGCACGCAGTGCTGCAAAGCCCGCCCTGCCGGAGCTTGACCCTGGAAGCCTCGTCCAGCGAAGTCCGCGACGCGGTGATCGCCTTCTTGCGGGCGATGCAACACTGACGGTGCCGCCGGCCTATCCACGTGTGTGTGGATGGAGCTCCAGGGGCATCCAGGAGCTTCAGTTCGTGAGCGCACTTGAGATCCAAGAATTCCCAGAATGAGTCATGAGGTGACTTATATAGCGTATATAGTCCCAGTCCAGAGGCCACTGGATGAGACTCCAAAGAGGTCACGAACTGAAGGTCCTGGGAGGTTCTTCTTTTGTCCCCACCTGGACCTGGAGTAGCCGGAAGAGATGATGTGTGTGTGTGTGTATGTTTGCTTTTAATGTAAACCTCTTCAACTAGA